GGGGGTGGTTTACTACAATGGGGGTGGTTTACTACAGTGTGGGTGGTACTACAATGGGGGTGGTTTACTACAATGGGGGTGGTTTACTACAGTGTGGGTGGTACTACAATGGGGGTGGTTTACTACAATGGGGGTGGTTTACTACAATGGTGTGGTTTACTACAATGGTGTGGTTTACTACAGTGTGGTGGTACTACAATGGGGGTGGTTTACTACAATGGTGTGGTTTACTACAGTGTGGTGGTACTACAATGGGGGTGGTTTACTACAGTGTAGGTGGTACTACAATGGGGGTTGTTTACTACAGTGTGGGTGGTACTACAATGAGGGTGGTTTACTACAATGGGGGTGGTTTACTGCAATGGGGGTGGTTTACTACAGTGTAGGTGGTACTACAATGGGGGTGGTTTACTACAATGGTGTGGTTTACTACAGTGTAGGTGGTACTACAATGGGGGTGGTTTACTACAATGGGGGTGGTTTACTACAGTGTGGGTGGTACTACAATGGGGGTGGTTTACTACAGTGTAGGTGGTTTACTACAGTGTAGGTGGTACTACAATGGGGGTGGTTTACTACAGTGTATGTGGTACTACAATGGGGGTGGTTTACTACAATGGGGGTGGTTTACTACAGTGTAGGTGGTACTACAGTGGTGGTGGTTTACTACAATGGTGTGGTTTACTACAGTGTAGGTGGTTTACTACAGTGTGGTGGTACTACAATGGGGGTGGTTTACTACAGTGTAGGTGGTACTACAATGGGGGTGGTTTACTACAGTGTAGGTGATACTACAATGGGGGTGGTTTACTACAGTGTGGGTGGTACTACAATGGTGGTGGTTTACTACAGTGTGGGTGGTACTACAATGGGGGTGGTTTACTACAGTGTAGGTGGTACTACAATGGTGGTGGTTTACTACAATGGTGTGGTTTACTACAGTGTAGGTGGTTTACTACAGTGTGGTGGTACTACAATGGGAGTGGTTTACTACAGTGTAGGTGGTACTACAATGGGGGTGGTTTACTACAGTGTAGGTGGTACTACAATGGGGGTGGTTTACTACAATGGGGGTGGTTTACTACAGTGTGGGTGGTACTACAATGGGGGTGGTTTACTACAGTGTGGGTGGTACTACAATGGGGGTGGTTTACTACAATGGTGTGGTTTACTACAGTGTAGGTGGTTTACTACAGTGTGGTGGTACTACAATGGGGGTGGTTTACTACAGTGTAGGTGGTACTACAATGGGGGTGGTTTACTACAGTGTAGGTGGTACTACGATGGGGGTGGTTTACTACAGTGTGGGTGGTACTACAATGGGGGTGGTTTACTACAGTGTAGGTGGTACTACAATGGGGGTGGTTTACTACAGTGTAGGTGGTACTACAATGGGGGTGGTTTACTACAGTGTGGGTGGTACTACAATAGGGGTGGTTTACTACAATAGGGGTGGTTTACTACAGTGTAGGTGGTACTACAATGGGGGTGGTTTACTACAGTGTGGGTGGTACTACAATGGGGGTGGTTTACTACAGTGTGGGTGGTACTACAATAGGGGTGGTTTACTACAATAGGGGTGGTTTACTACAGTGTAGGTGGTTTACTACAGTGTGGTGGTACTACAATGGGGGTGGTTTACTACAATGGTGTGGTTTACTACAGTGTGGGTGGTACTACGACGATGGTGATTTCCTGGGATGTGGGTGGTACAATCTGGGTGGTTTACTGCAGTGTGGGTGGTTTCCATGGATGTGGATGGTTTACTACATTGCGGGTGGTTCCCTAGAAATTTTATAATATCAGAGGTAGTGATCTTTAAAACGTTTTGTAGCATTATATGGATAAGTGTAGATAAAATTAAAATATCACCTTTTTTCTTAATATTTTGAATTATTGTTAATGAAAATAAAAGCTTTTTTTTAACGTCTATTTATCTAAATAAGATTATAAATAACCTGTCACTATGTACTAGGTACTAATCCCTCTATTTTCTAAAAGAATATTAATAACTCTGTCAATACGAATTGACCATTGACACGAAGGTCTAGAATTTCCACTAGCTAAAAATTAAGAGTTCATTATAACCCAGTGTCACAAACCTATTGGTTAGTTTGTTAAATATTCCATATATATATATATATATATATATATATATATATATATATATATATATATATACATGTGCGTGTGTGACTACGTGTGTGTACGTGTACACGTACACGTACACGTACACGTATACATATACATATACATACCCGTGCTCCGCTACGATAAATCTTTTTTTAATGTACCAACTTGGGAACAGAAAAAAACTAAACACAACACAAACGCAACACAAATGCAACACAAACACAACACAAACACAAAACAAACTCAAACACAACACAAACACAACACAAACTTAACACAAACACAACACAAACACAATCAAAACACAAACACACATAAAAACACAAACACTAAAGAAAACACAAACACAACACAAACACAAATGAAAACACAAACACAATGCAAACAAACACAATGCAAACACAAACGGAAAGTCGAAAGCAACACACAAACACAAAAGACAACACTCATAAATTTGCATTCACATTTTTTTATTAGCGTGAGTTGAATTTATTTTTAAATTACCTCCCTCTGCAAAATTACAAAACAGCTGAATTAATTAGTTTTTTCGACCCTATTATTAATAAAAATGTATCCAATTTTTCTTGGAATCTAAAAGAAAATTATATTTGACATTGATCCATTTAATATGTTTTAGCAATTTGCGTGTATTTAATATTTTCTTTACGTTATGCGAAAGAGTAAAAACGTTGGCAACTATAAAATAAATTTAAGTCGTTATATAAACAAACTTTACTTTGTTACTTATAATAAGACACGGCGATGCAAGTAATAAGCACGTCATGTGGAGTGTTTACTTTTATTGTTCCAAAATCTATAGCGATGGTGGAAGGAAGGACTGACACACTGCTTGGCTTATATATATATATATATATATATATATATAAACTTGTAGCACCAGATTCAGACTGTATTAGTGCTTAACAAATATGTGAGTTCCAATATTTTTTTCAACTGATGTAAAAAGTTAACATTTTTATTCTCTAATATCTCAAACAGTGCATTCCCCTTTCCCGTTGTCTCGCCCTTCTCTGTTGTCTCCCCCTACTTGGTTGTCTCCCCTTCTTGCTGTCCTTATTTCCCAGTAAGGGAGAGAGAACGAGTGCTGACTGTGAGAGCGACTGGCTACACAGCGCTGTATGGGGGTGGGGGTGAACTCGTGGTGGGGGGCTCAAGATGGTTGCTGTCCTTTGTGAATGGCGGCACCAGTGTGGTGTAGGGGAGACACGATAATTATTCTGGCATTCATTCCTTACTCTGTTCTCTTCGTTCATTCGCCATCTTGGCTCTGTGTTTCAATGGTGATTATGGCACCGTGGCACCGCTTGTTACCCTGCAACATCTCAGGGTTTCACTAGCTTTCGAAAACTCGTTAAAATACCGAACGATTTCCTTCAAACAAAATATAAATGCTCTCGTTTGATGTTTACACATCGTGTTTTATTCCGTGTTAGAATTTGTTCTGCCACGTGTTTTTGTACAATTGCAGCTAGTAGTTAGTCCAGCTTAAACACGTGAATCAGATGTAAACGGTTGGACACATTTTGTTATAGCCAAACACAACTGTAACACATATGTGCTCGTGCTTTTCTCATTGGATATTTTATTTCTCTGAGTGGTACAGTGAGCGATCAGTGAGGAATCAGAGGAATTCCTTATGTGTACTCTCTAATCTTATTACTGCTGTGGTGTTTGAAGTGATCCTAGCTTATCAATATGTCATAATAAATGAGAGTGATCAGGGAGAAAACGAGCTAGGCCGTACATAGTTACTTGACGACAAATTTATCTATAGCTCTGCTACAGCTTCACATATTTATCTATAGCTCTGCTACAACTTCACATATTTATCTAGAGCCCAGCTAAAACTTCACATATTTATCTATAGCCGAGCTAAAACTTCACATATTTATCTATAGCCGAGCTAAAACTTCACATATTTATCTAGAGCCCAGCTAAAACTTCACATATTTATCTAGAGCCCAGCTAAAACTTCACATATTTATCTATAGCCGAGCTAAAACTTCACATATTTATCTATAGCCGAGCTAAAACTTCACATATTTATCTAGAGCCCAGCTAAAACTTCACATATTTATCTAGAGCCCAGCTAAAACTTCACATATTTATCTATAAATAACCTTCAAAGTTAGCATAAAAAAAAACCTCATTGGCCAGGCTATACTTAGCCATCCTATTGATTTATATTTTGAAATGTGTCAAGCAATACTCGAATGTTTCATTACGATACATATGCCATGTCGTATCTTTTATCTCAACTGTTTAGTATTGGTGTCAGTTGATCAGATGAGAAACACACTTGGATAAACACACACGTTTTACAAAAGACGATAACTTACACAGAAGATCGATGTTTTCAGGCGTCATTGTTTATGTTGGTGTTGTAAACTGCTAGTCAGCAAAAGTCAGTTGTAAATTCCTAGTCAGCAAAGATGACAGCTGTTGAAGGTGTTGTAAAGGCTAGAGCTAGAGTCAGCTATTGTAGGTGTGCTAAGCTAGGCTCAGTTTGAGATTGCTTTCAAAGAGTATATTAAAGAAGTAAAAAATAAATTAGTTTGGATCCTTAATAGTATTATATGTGCTGCCCTTTGCCAATGACTAACAAAAGAATGGTGCCAATGACAGCAAGACGTCAATGTTTCTACATAAAAAACACGTAATGTTATTTTCTTGTGATGTTTTTATTATTTCTTATTCTATAAATATTCTTGTTACCCGTCAATTTCGGAAACCGTTAAAATTGGGTTAGAACATCAACAAATAAACTATGCACAAAATATTACCAAATGTTAATTTATATAAACAACAAAATGAAGTCTTAGACATTGCTTCCATTTCTTCCATAGACTGCGCAACCTGGTACGGCGGCTGGAGAAAGAAGATTTAAACAGAGATGACATGAGAAAGAATCTCGAATATGCAGCAAATGTCCTGGAGACAGTTTACATTGACGAAACCAGGTGAGTTGAGTGATGAAGTTGGGCTTTTCTTGCTTGATTAGATACGTGCTGGCTCCATGATTAGATACTTGTTGGCTCCATGACTAGATACTTGCTGGCTCCATAATAAGATACTTGCTGGCTCCATTATTAGATACTTACTTGCTCCATGATATGTACTGGATCCATGATTAGATATGTGCTGGCTCACTGATTGGATCTTTGCTGGCTCAATGATAAGATACGTGCTGGCTCCATGATAAGATACTTGCTGGCTCCATTATTAGATACTAACTTGCTCCATGATATGTACTGGTTCCATGTTTAGATACTTACTTACTCCATGATATGTACTGGTTTCATGATTAGATATGTGCTGGCTCACTGATTGGATCTTTGCTGGCTCAATGATAAGATACTTGCTGGCTCCATGATAAGATACTTGCTGGCTCCATGATAAGATACTTGCTGGATCCATGATTAGATACTGCTGGCTCCATGATCAGATATGTGCTGGCTCCATGATAAGATACTTGCTGGATCCATGATTGGATACTTGCTGGCTCCATTATTAGAAACTTACTTGCTCCATGATATGTACTGGCTCCATGATTAGATATGTACTGGCTCCATGATTAGATATGTGCTGACTCCATGATTAGATGCTATCTTCATGACTGGATATATGCTGACCCCAGCTCATGGTTAGAGACGGTATCCAAGACACAAGTAGATCTAAATATCCCTAGATAGTTCAAGCTTTCACTGGATAGTTCAGCATATCTTTAGATATCCCTAGGTTGTTTAAGATATCCCTAGATTGTTTAAGATATCCCTAGATTGTTTAAGATATCCCTAGATTGTTATGGGCTTTATAGTCTCGTTAGCAAGCACAAACCTTTACTATCTCTGAGCAAACATTTTTAAACTAGCTTATGTTCATTATCATGCATAACGCTGATTATTATAAAAAAATCTGAGAAGGAGCATGAAATATAGAACTATAGAAATTCCATTTGGGCGACATGTCGATCTAACATTGGGGTAATAACAACTTTGGACAAATAGTCTATTAAACATTGAGGAAATAACAACTTTGGACAAATAGTCTATTAAACATTGAGGAAATAACAACTTTGGACAAATTGTCTATTAAACATTGAGGAAATAACAACTTTGGACAAATAGTCTATTAAACATTGAGGAAATAACAACTTTGGACAAATTGTCTATTAAACATTGAGGAAATAACAACTTTGGACAAATTGTCTATTAAACATTGAGGAAATAACGACTTTGGACAAATTGTCTATTAAACATTGAGGAAATAACGACTTTGGACAAATTTTCTATTAAACATTGAGGAAATAACAACTTTGGACAAATTGTCTATTAAACATTGAGGAAATAACAACTTTGGACAAATTGTCTATTAAACATTGAGGAAATAACGACTTTGGACAAATTGTCTATTAAACATTGAGGAAATAACAACTTTGGACAAATTGTCTATTAAACATTGAGGAAATAACGACTTTGGACAAATTGTCTATTAAACATTGAGGAAATAACAACTTTGGACAAATTGTCTATTAAACATTGAGAAAATAACGACTTTGATATCTCAGATAGAGCACGGGCAATAGCAAACAGGCAAATAGACATTGGAAAAGACTTGCGATAACTTCCATCCAACATACGATTAGGCAATAACTCGCGGCAAGGTGATCCAAGCCACGACTCCCCATCTGTCTGACACTCTTATGATTTGCTTGCGTGTTTGCTGCGAGTTCAACCAACAGACGAGACCGGCTTATATCGCCTGGACGATTTCATGTGTGTGCTCTAGTTCCCCCATAAAAAGCTGGTCGGTTTTTTTCTAGTAAAGATCATTTCGGTTTTCATTTCTATTCAAGATCATTTTCGCTCACGAAATAATTCTATTGGAATTTAGGCAATGTGATTTTGGTAATTGAAGCTGGACACTTATAACCTAGTCAACAAGATTTTAAGTTAAATAAATTGGTCAGTTAGAAGCGGATTCAAAAACATCCTAAAGGAAATATAACACATCCTTTAAAATATGAAGTTATTTATTAGTTGTTTTGTCTAATAAAATCTGAATTTTAGCATATGTGTGTGTGTTTAAGTTTTTTTTTTTACCAAATATCTTGTTTCGATTATTGTTTATTTTCATTTTTTTTTGTTAGTTATTCGTACACATTCCTAAACAACTCAACTGCATGAGATTATTTCTGCCAGATATCATTTAACATGAGAATATGATTTTCATCGAATCCTACACAGATAGAATTGGCGGATGAGAATCTGAATGTTTTATACTGTATAAAAAAAGTAACGTCTATATCTGAATGTGTGGGCTCCGTTTAAGAGTATCCGAAAATGTTAGCCTATTAACATTGTATATTCCTGTAAGAAATAGGGTAGGGTAGTTACCCTTTCAATCGGCCGTATTGTCAAACCACAGGCTAATACCATTCAAATTTTAGCATTACTTTTGTGGGATGATAGATTGTCAAATTTGTAATTTGAAAAGAAGTGACAAAATATTCGACGGTTTTATTGTTTGAGAAAAGATGTTTGACAATAATTAGAGTGGAAAGATAAGCGGCTTGACGAGTGACATGTCATAACTACCCAGAGTTTCTTCCAGGCATCTCTTCGGGAAGAGAAATTTTTTTACCGCCCCCCCCCCCCCCGAATGAAATGAAATTTATATAATTTATATAAAAAATATATACTTTTAACAGTGTCCGCCCCCCCGAAGAAAGTTTACCCCCCCCCCCCGAAAATTTCAAGTGCCCCTCCGGAGTAAAACGTCTGGAAGAAACACTGTAACTACCTAACTAGCACGACCAGCTTCCGGTACGATTGCTTATTTAGAAGTCCTAATCCTTACCCTCCCCAAGTTTCCTGCCCTAATCCTTACCCTCCCCAAGTTTCCTGCCCTAATCCTTCCCCCCCCCCCCCTTCTCCCCCCCCCCCCCCCCCCCCCCCCCCACATCTACCATCTTTTATGACGCAGTAATGTAAACAGTGTTTCTTCCAGTCTTCTAGACTTTTTTCTCCGGAGGGGGGGGGGGGGCACTTGAAATTTTCGGGGGGGGGGGGCGGTAGACTTTCTTCGGGGGGGGGGGGGGCGGACACTGTTAAAAGTATATATTTTCTATATAAATTATATAAATTTCATTTCGTTCGGGGCGGGGGGGGCGGTAGAATTTATTCGGGGGGGACCCGAAGAGATGCCTGGAAGAAACTCTGAATGTAAACCTCTTTCAAAACTCGTTTAATTTTTCTTTTCTCTTAAAAAAAGTACATTCTAGTTTGAATGGAGAAATACTTTGTGTTAGAATAAGTCCAGCTGTTATTCTGAGGAAATAAAGCGGGAGTGACCTCCCCTAAACTCTTAACTTTCTCCAATTGTTATTTAACACTACGGGGGATGGCAAATCTGGATCTAGACATGATTTTTAATCCATTTTTAGTTACGCAACAAACGTTTAAAATAGGATAGAACCTCGTAGAAAAAAGAACTGCGCACCGAGTGTATGGCAAACAATGTGTGTGTAATAGTGCGGAACATAAGTACTTAATAAATTCATATGCGTTTTTGAGTAATCGGAAATAGCTTAACTAATACTTCAAGTCACTGGAAATTACTCAAAATTTGAACAAAAACAGATAATTAGATCTCTTACTTACTTGTGAAATTTATCAGAAACATTACATTCAGTTACCGTAAATCGCTGAAATGTTGATACATAACTACACATTTGATGTAATACTTAAATGTAAAAATTTCATCAACTCAATTTATCGTATTCACACACACACACTTACTCGATCACACACACGCACACCAAACACACAGAGAGCTATACAGACAGGAGTGTAAAATTAAGTTTTCCGACTCAGGGAGGTCTAAAACGTCGAGATTTGTGCAACTTTGCAATTTTCGATTTTTTACACGATCACAAAAACTCCTCTATACTCCACATACGAGAAAGTAAAGAGTAACCAAAATGTTATTTATTTGTTTAGGCTGAAAATATCTTCTCCATATATATATATATATATATATATATATATATATATATATATATATATATATATATAGGCCTATATATATATATATATATATATATATATATATATATATATATATATATGTGTGTGTGTGTGTGAGATCAGTATTATTTTGACTAGAGGATGCTATATTAAAGAACCTAAAGATTTTTACAATATCAAGAGAAAATTATTCAAAGTTCAGCTTTTTTCTGTCAACAGTATGACGTCCTATATAGACAATAAATCGTATCCCAAAGCATGTCCTTCCTAAACTGAGACACGGATCGTGGCCGTAGAGCTGAGGCTAGTGTTTAGATCTGTAATGAACAAACAACTACACACACAATTCTGTACTGACTTAATTAACGAAATAGCTTTCTGAAATTGGGGCCCATGGTCACGTGATCCTTGCTGGTGACATTAAATAGCAAAGACCTAACAATGACCTCAAGCTCTGAACGTGCCCAGGGCGGCTAGTGGGAGAGCGAATCAATGTGGAGAGACTTTTATTAGAGCTCATATCTGGCCCGACTGCTTGAGTTGTGTACTAGCTTGTACTCTTGTAGACCCATGTCTTAGTGATTTAGTTGTGTACTAGCTTGTACTCTTGTAGACCCATGTCCCAGTGATTTAGTTGTGTACTAGCTTGTACTCTTGTAGACCCATGTCCCAGTGATTTAGTTGTGTACTAGCTTGTACTCTTGTAGACCCATGTCCCAGTGATTTAGTTGTGTACTAGCTTGTACTCTTGTAGACCCATGTCCCAGTGATTTAGTTGTGTACTAGCTTGTACTCTTGTAGACCCATGTCTTAGTGATTTAGTTGTGTACTAGCTTGTACTCTTGTAGACCCATGTCTTAGTGATTTAGTTGTGTACTAGCTTGTACTCTTGTAGACCCATGTCTTAGTGATTTAGTTGTGTACTAGCTTGT